AAAAAAAAAAAAAACCTTTTGTTTTCAATCTTCCATTTGCCCCTTATATTTATGTATTTTCCTCTTTGGTTGGTTCCCAGATTATTGTTTAACTAAATTGGTGAACGCGCTATAGTGTCAAATAGTCAAATTGTTTGGAAAAAGCTGGAGGTTTAGATTGAAGAAAGTTTTTTAATGCAGGGCAAGACTTGGGTCTGGATAGGCTTCTTTGGAAGTCTAATGTTCTTCATTGGGGGTTTAACAAATGTAGTCAAAGTGTTCGAGATGGAGCAAATTGATGGACTAAGGTTCGAGAAATTGCGAGGAGCTCAAGAGCGTTTGATTCGAGAGTGGGAGGGCCAGGCACCACTAATCCTAGCAGAGGAGAGGAGGGGGGGAAGGATAGCCGAAGAAACTAGAGCAGCGCCTATTCCTGCACCAACTCCAGTACTGATCGTAGAAGAGGAGAGGAGGAGGAAAATGACAGCCGAAGAAACAAGAGCAGCACCCATTCCTGCACTAACTCCTTACAAGGATGTACTTGTTGGCCAGTCTTGATTACTTCAATAATTTCTGTGCATCATTCTATGTTATGTTGGTATCCTTCGGTGCCTTTTCCTCTAATCCTAGTACTGGGGAGCAGGAAAAGTATACAGGACTTTGTCAAAAGCTTCATGAGCAATTATATTGACTTACTTGGATGTAATGGGGTCGACTCTCAATCTTGGTTTTGTAAAAAAACAATTAATTAATAAAAGAAATTACAATCATAAAAATAAAAATAAAATAAAATAATGATGAATTAAATCAAAAAAATAAAATTCAATTAGAAAACGATTAAAGATAAAATAAATAAAAATTAAAAATCACATGCCAAATAATTAAATTAAAAAAAAATAAATTATATCTAATACAATTAAAATATTAAAGATCGCTTTGTAATTTCATAAAACCAGCATGCTTTTTAATGTTAAAAAAAAAAAAGTTTTATCACCGAAGTTCTTCCGTGTATCTTCTACTAGGTATATTGGACTAAATGTGGCCGCTAACAATATACGACCACAGAAATGTAGAATCTGGTTTTGCCTTGGCGGAAAATCCCAAGCTGAAAGACTTGCGCTCACGCAATCTTGTCCAACGAAAGGATAGATTTTAACACAAAAAAGAAGTGCGACAAAAGCTGTTAAGGAGTAATCAATGGTGATTTGAAAATAATACCAGCCTGGCTAGCAGAAACAGTCATGGCTGAGGGTGGGGTCTTCTCTCTTTCTAAAATAAGATTTTATCAATGCAGAGTCGAAGGCGAGCGCGGTGCCCAGCAGCTGCCAGGGAGGAAGATTTGACGAGGCAGGAGCCTCCGTCCATATTACAATGTTCGAGAAAACTATCCTAACCACCAAGCAGAGCAAGTTCATAAAAATGTTCACTAATGACATTCATGCAGCCAATCGGAGGGAGGATTCATATATTAAAATAATATTTTTTTATTTTTCGAACTTTTCCACTTATAGGCTCTCTGCCATCAGTTGCCTACATATTACAATTCACATTCCATTGATATTTATCTTATATATGTCACGGCTACCATCAAATTAACACATGATATGGAATATTTTTGAGTTTTCCTGAGAAATTGATTTCCAATCCCTACTTATTTTTGGTATGAAAATGAAATATTTTGGCCTCTATGGAAACGTTCTTAGATGATATTTTCTTGCTATTTTCTTTTTCCTGATCGTGGGATGATATCCTCAATGAAATTGTCTTGGCTTTTGAGGAATTAAACCGTAACTAGTAGAAAAATCTCTTGTCTGGAAACATTTTTGGTGCTAGATAATGTGAGATTAATTCACAATTGGGGTAAGGAATAATATGTTTCTAATCTAATATATATGAGGCAACTTACCAGATAGAAATATCTTTTGAATTATAAGAAACATTGCTTTGCGCACTAGAATTTGACCTGAAAAACTATTGCAAGGCTAGCAATTTCAACTGCAACTAGGGTTTGAAGTAGAACTAGTACAATAATTTGTTAAAGAACATGGAGATGACTTGAAAGAACTCGAGTTTTCTTGCATTTTACCTGGACATTAATATTTCTTAATATCTTGAGATGGAGAATTGACAACAGTCTTATTTTCAGTAATTTTATTAAAAAAAGAACCATAAAAAAAACTTTTTCACTAATATTAATCTTAAAGCATGATTTCCTCCCTTTCCTAAATAATATTCTAATAATATTTTTCAGATTTTCTTTATTTTTAATATTTTAAAAAATTGGTGTTTTTTTTTTTAAAAAACACATTGCACGTTTTACAAGGGTATTAATTCCATGTTTAACTAAGAACGCAGCAAAATCAAAAAGCTTTTTTTATTTCATTAAACATGAGCAGTGCACATGTTGCTTGAAGGGAAGTAGAAACGCACGTCGGCCGTGCAAAATTAGTGGGTCATTAAAAAAACAATTTCAAAAATTTGGAAAAGCACTGTAACTTACAGACCTTATAAAATATTATTTATTTTAATAATGTTTTTTCTTTATTTTTTTCTAATTATTAATATTAAATTAAAAGAGTTAGTGTTTTTACTGGATACCATATCACAAAACACCATTTATTTTAGCAATTTTCTTTTTTCTTTTTTCTTTCTAAATATATATTTCCTTCCCTAATTTCGTATTATTGCTTCACAATCTGGATTTGGGGTGGCCATGCAGTTCTCCAGCAGCTTTAGTTTCCATGCAAAAGGTAGGTCAGGTTATTCATGGTGATAAATGACAGGAGCAACGGAAGATAGTTCTTGGGGGGGGAAATTGTGATCTATCTTGAAAATGGAAGCGCATGTACCAGCGATCTCCATCAACCAACTAAGCTCTCAATAAAGTTTAAAAACATTAAATCATAGAGTGCTGGGAAAAGGATATCAATATACTAAAAACAATCTGGATATCAAAACAATATGAATACGTGAAAAAAATACAAATCATTTTTGATATTTTAATTATATTTTATATTTATTAATCAAAAGGTCGGTAATGTTATTCGTTGACCGTTCTGTAACCTGCCATGGAATTGTGGAAATCAAAGTGGCAAATGGATTGGTTAAAAACAGAAAACGTAAAACCAAAGTATCCATTTAAAACCAACGGAATGGAAATTCTGCTGTTGATCTTGAGCAAGCCAACTATGTGGTCACCACGGCACCATAATCACCTCATTTATCTGTGAGCATTAGTATCAGGGGTGTGTTTCATTTTTTATTTTCATCTTTACGAACAGAACCTTGTCCTAGAAAAAAAGGGAAAGAAGAAAGATGGGATGTGAGCGATGGTTTCAGCTGGGTTTCAATGTCAACACAATTCAAAGAAAAAGAAAAAGGATGAACATGGTGGACAGAATGGACCAGACACGAAGGAGAAGCAGAATCTAATCTTGACTGTGTGCTGCTGAATAAAGCATTGTGTGTTTTATTGCACAATCTGTCAACATGAATCCAGAAAGTAGAGAAAACGAATGGATGCCCCAGTGCAACAGCGGCCAAAGATCTTGTTTGCTATCTTTTCTGTTGGAAAAAAGAAGATTAAGCACGAAATAGCCTGAAGGCAAGGTCTGCTATTTCTGTACAGAAAAGTCCATGTCATAATCAACAAGTCTGCGATCTCAGACGAGTAAACTTTAGGCTCTTGAAAATCCTAAATTCAAAAAAAAAAAAAAAACCCATAGAATTATCACTCAAAAGCCCGAAATGCACTCTGATCACACCTCACCTCACATCTACTGACAGGGAGAAAAAAAATGGAGTTCAAGGAAACAAAAATCATAAAAACATTTTTTTAGAAAAAAGGAATTCGGGTTTTCACCAAAAGATCGAACAAAAAATCAAATTTTGTTTTCCAACAGAAGATTAATGCCTATGTACTCAACAAAGCCAAAACCCACGGACCACCACCGCAACCCATTCCCCTTGCAGTTCTCACCTCTCTCTCTCGAGAATTAAAAAAAAAAAAAAAAACACGACCATTGAACCAGTTTAATAAAACCACAAACCACGGCATAGCCGTCAACAAAGAAACGATCCAGCTGCCAGGAGCAAAAAAAAAAAAAAGAACGCGAAAAGCGAAAACTCATAGCCGTCAACAAAGAAACGATCCAGCTGCCAGGAGCAAAAAAAAAAAAAAAAAAGAACACGAAAATCGAAAACACCGGCAGACTCAAGCGATCACGACAGCCAACGCAACCGTCCAGTTCCACGCCGCTAGTAACTCCACCAACGGCGAAAGTCGAGGGTGAAAAACAAAAGGGAAAGCAACGGAAGGCAAAAAGACTGGATCCCTCGTTGGATGGCGTCGAGAAAAACAGCCGAGAAAAACTGCCCTCGTAAACACGCAGAGGAGATGGAGTTGGCACCGATCCCACACTTAACGCACTGAAACCCACGGACCACCACCGCAACCCATCTCCGCTAGCAATTCTCACCTCTCGAAAAAAAAAAAACACAGCCAATGAACCAGTTACCAATAAAACCACCAAACCACGGCATAGCCGTCAACAACGAAACGATCCAGCTGCCAGGACCCTAAAAAAAAAAGAACTCGAAAAGCGAAAAATCCGACAGACTCAAGCTATCACGACGGCCAACGCAACCGTCCAGGTTCACGCCGCTAGTAACTCCACCAGCGGCGGAAGTTGATCGGAAAAAAGAAGAAGCAGCGACTGCAACCGAAGGCTCCCTCGTTGGATGGCGGCGAGAAAAACCGCCCTCATCAACGCTCAGAGGAGATGTAGTTGGCACCGATCCGACGCTCAACTCACCGAAACACCATCGGTTTGACATGGAGTGGGATCTCCGATCAATTTAACAAAGAGTTTGGCTGTGACTGCTGCGGTGAGTGTTTGTTTTATGGACGCCCTTCTTTTCCTTAAAAAGAGACTATAAAAAGAAAGCTCCTAAAGCAAGCCCTAGAAAATAAATTTATATAAAAATAATTATCATTTAAAAAAATATGAATAAAATAAAAAAGATAAGGAGTGCTAATCTAAAAATAATTTCAAAAAACATACAAAAATTTAGATCCTCGATGAATTGTTTTGGCTTTTAAGAAATTAAACCGTAGCTAACATAAAATTATCTTATATGCCTAAGAATACAACGTGAGAGTTTTCTTACATTTTAATTGGACATTAATATTTCTTAATCTCTTGAGATGGAAAATTGACAATAGTCTAACAGCAGTAATTTTCTTCAAAAAAAAAACCCATAAAAAATCTTTTTCACTAATATTAATCTTAAAGAATAATTTCATCCCTCTCCTAAATAATCTTCTACCTGATCATCCCCAATAAAAAAAAAATCTTTTTTTTTTAATTTTCAATTCCCCCCCTCTATTTGCATCGCAAATCCTAGAACAAGAGAAGAGGAGGTAAAGGATAGCAGAAGGAACAAGACCAGCACCTATAACTGCGCCAACCCCTTACGAGGATTACTTTACCAAACTATGAGCAGCATTCCATGTTTTAAATTAAGGAATAGATGGCGAATTTAATTGAAGGAGGCCGATTTTATTTTTCATGCCATACTTCCCTTAAAAAGAAAGCCTAAATTTCTAGTCTATTATGATAGAAGGTGCTGCCTCTGCCACATTTTCTTCTACCATTTTCTTTCTTTCATCACTGGTTCTTTCGAGAATTTTGTTTATTTCTTAAAATGGTTTTTTTTCATTGAGTTGCATATAAAAAAATCATATATACATTATTAAAAAAAAAACACAAGAAGATGCTCTTAAACAACCACACATAGCTCGTTCTGAAAGGATACCACACCCAAGAAACAGATGTAGCCAAAGGCATGTCCTACGCATTGGTCAAGGAATTAGTACCCAACTAGATTTTTTTGTCGGAACGCTATAAGATCAAAATGCTTTTGTTTTGCCTTTCATAGAACCTGAGCGGGGTTGTGACCAAGGTTGGTGGGACCATCTCGGATCACAACTGGTCCCACAGACGTCGTGATCCCTTAGCCAAAAAGACATAGTAAAAGATACGGGTTTTCAGAGTACACTGATTACCTTTTTTTTTATTATTCTCTGAGCAATTAATTTTAATTTTTTATTAAAAAATAAGAGATAGAAATGAAAAACATGGTAAACATGATTGCCATATAAGTTTAGAGAAATTTCATTTTGATACCGGGTTCATGTCCTGAATTTCAATAATAAAAAAATTTATTATTGGAATTGATTTAAATCATTAAAATAAAAAATATTTATACTAAATTATTTAATTTAACAAGAAAAGTTTATATTATATATTTTATATCTTAAACGTTTGTAAATAAACAGATTTGAATTTAGATTAATTTTTTATTTTGGATTAGTTTGATTTTTGAGTTGTTTTTTTTTTTAAGAAATGAACAAATTTATCATAACTTTTAAAATGTTTTTATAAATATTTTAAATAAATAAAAAGTTGTAAAATAAATTTTTGATTTTCTAACCATTAAAATAGATAAAATCAAAACAAAAATATACAATGCATCATTTATTACTGCATAAATGCTATATCAAGATACCTTGGATTTGATACAGATAGTACCTAAGACGCTTGGACTGTCGTTACTTTACAAAGACAAGCCACCAGCTTCGTCCTTTCACTGTTTATTGCATCTTTTGGAGGAATAACGAACAGCTCACAACACGGCCTTCGGTAGCGGGAAAAAGAAAAACGCGCCATTTTTCTTTCCAATCCCCTAGTATCTGTCCTAATTGGTCACGTCCTAGTACCTGACCAGATTTTTCGCCGGCGGTAACCAAGAACGCAGCAAATCAAATTGATAATAGAAAAACCCACTAAATTGAATTAAAGAAACAACCCACAATTCCTCTTCTGCTTTGACGATTTTAATTGAAGATATTAGTTTAATTCAAACACAAAATTCACACCACATATATAAATCAAACTGATAATAGAAAAATCGAACCACACTATCCAGCTGCCAGGATCAGGGGAAAAAAAAAAAACACGAAAAGCGACAACTCCAACAGGCTCAAGCGATCACAGAAGCCAACGCAACCGCAGTGGCAACGCCACTCCAAGGATAGAAAAGCCCATAATTCCTTATCTGTTTTGACGATTTTAATTGAAGATATTAGTTTAACTCCAACACAAAATTCACACCATCATTTATTAAATATAAAGTACAAAGTAAAATGGTCTGATCTCAAATGAGAAAATAGACCAAATATTTATCTGCAATAATACAGTAGATATAACTAAAAACTAACTGTGGAGGCGCCCGAGTACTGAATGGATTGCTACCTCGGCGAAGAAGAAGACCTGCAATTAATACGAAAATATTAACATTGAAAGATTAGAAGAATCCCATTGTATGAATCGTAATCAGCTTCAACTTTTTATTACATGCTACCTCCTTATTTCCCAGCATGGACGCTCCTTTCTGCATTTCAACGTCCACCTCCAGCATGGACGCTCCTTTCTGGCATTTCAACATCCACCTCAAATCTCACGGAGCAGTTTCGGCGCTTGAAGAATACATAAACGACGATAGTAAGGAGCATGACGAGGACACCAGCAAGTCCTCCTTTAGCAGCTGAGGAGTAGCCTTCTGTGGCCGAGTCTTGTGCAGGGGGGTGTGGGCTGTAACCATCCATGGCTTAAAACTACAAAAAGGAATATTTAATTAGAAGAAAATAAAAGCAGTAATGTCTCAAGTCAGATTAGAAAGAGATCGTATTGATAGCATTACCAAATTTGAGAAAGAAACAGAGGAGGAGGCAATTAGAGGAGCAAGAGAATACGGTTTAAATAGAAGTGTGGAGGTGGTATGGTAGTCCCGAGACTCAGTGGGGTAGTCCGGTAGTCCTGAGACTCTGTGTGGTTTAAAAATACTGTTCCGCTTAAAAGTTTTGCACCCTTTATCTTTTTCTTTGGTTAGGTAATAATCTTGAGAGGTTAGCATGTGTTTTTTACAAGGGCCTACCCCTGTAGGAAAAATCATTTTGAAACTAAGACAGACTAAACTGAAAATAAATGTAAATTGCATAATAATGATTAAAAAAATTCAGGATGCAAAATATAATTAAAATTAAATTTAGTTAAAATTACACTTTTTAGTCAAAATAATTTTAGCTTTGGTCTTCATGTACAATGGTAACCCTCCAAAAATTAACAATACCATGTATTTTGCAATTAATACGAAAACAATATTGAAAGATTAGAAGACCTTGATTTTTAGTCTTTAACAAGGAAGGGCTTTGGTTTTGCGTTTTTTTATTCTTCTAAACAGGCTAAAAAAATCGTAAGCTATCCTCCGTTCCCTTCCTCCACTCTTCCTTTGATGAGGTAGAAAAGGCTGTTTCCACTTGGAAAAGCTTGGGATGGAGGGAAAGATCACCCTTTTATTTTATTTTTCAGCGACTTTGTCATTTATCTCACCACGTAGACACCTTCTGGACCCCACCGAACCGACTCCTCCAATCTCAATTACCGCACTGGATCCCTCCACCTCTTCCTCCACCTTAATCCATCCTTTGATAATTCCACCAAAATTCTTCTAATCGCGGCCCCTCTGGTAAGGTATCCAGGTTCCGCCCCTCCATAAAATTACCACGAAACCCTTTTTTTTTTTCTTTTGGATTGGTTTCTAAATAAATTGTATGTTTATATCTGAATGCTAAACTAGATTTGCTGTGGATTGGTTTGATTTTTTTTTTATAGAAGTGTTATTATTGAATTTTTTTTAAAAAAAAATTCATAATTCAAAAAAATAAAAAAATAATTACCATTTATTAGGTTGTTTTAAAAATAAAAAAGTTTTTAAAAAAGATATTAGTTATTATGAGAAAGGGTCATGTTAGATGATATTTTTATATTTTCTTTGCATAATATAATTATTTAATTGTGAAAGATAACAAATTAAGTTGGGTCACTAAGTTTTTTTTGTCTTTAGGTGTTGTTTGTTTTTGTATTTTAAAAGTATTTTAAAAAAATTGAAATTTTTTATATTTTTTCTTTGTTTTAAATTAATATTTTTTAAATTATTTTGATGTGTTGATATCAAAAATAATTTAAAAAAAAATAAAAAATATT